AGTTGGAAAGGTTTTCTAAATAACATACCTATAATAGAACTTGGCCTTATCTTTTCCAAATCTTTTAAGTATGTTCGAGCATAGCCTCTGTACGATTGAAAGAGAACAAGATCTTGAATTTTTATTTCTGGTGTTGTGAAGATATATGTTTGAGATGTTGCTCCGATTGTGTCCATACCGGGTAAGCTGAAAAGTTTGCTTGACCGCAGTGGGGATCGAACCCACAAACTTTGCTAGTCCAATGTTCTACCATGCAACCGTGCTATTAGCGAACCAAAGTTTTTGGGTTCGATTCCCACCGTGGTCAAGAAAATACAACACGTCTGCTCATCTTGTATATATTACAGTATAAGAGTATTATTACCTGTATGCATTGGGAGAATATATACATTCGGTTGAAAAGTAATCCAACTTTTTAAAATACGCATACCTAGAAATTAAAGAAACATGTTAGTGATGATGTCACTTCAAAAAATTAGCTTCCTAACACCAAGGGATGCCCCTGCCCAAAATAATTTCTGAAAGCCTTTAGGCTATGAATTAAGCAAATTAGGGGCAAAAAGCTTCGGCAATAAAAAGTTGAACATTTCACTAAATGTGAATTACTTACATGACAATTTCTTTCTCGTAGGCATATTTCAAAGGCTTGCATCTTGGTATGGCTCCTTCAGTTCCCTACAGCAGTAACAATCTACTGTATCAGACCATACGTTATGTACTATAACGTCAGATAGAACTTCTATGACCTCTCATGATTAGCTATTCCGAAGTTGATGAGAGGACTGGGGACGAGTGTTAAAAAGCGCCCAAATTTTAAGAAATGAATCCAATCACTAAAAAGACCACCTCAAAATTAGTAAGTGTACAAAATTTGAAGACGTTTACACGAATACCCTTCGAATAATAAGCTTTCGAAAATTGTCATATTTACTATGAAATGTATTGTAATTTTTGTTTTTGGGACGTGCATCCCAAAAACAATCTTTTAATCAGAAAATTTCACAATTTTCGAAAGCTTGTTATTCGAAGGGTATTCATGTAAACGTCTTCAAACTTTGTATACTTACTAATTTTGAGGTGGTCTTTTTAGTGATTTGGTTCTTAATTTATAGGCACTTTTTAACACTCGCCCCCAGTCCACTCATCAACTTCGGAATGGCTAATTAACGTAGCGGCAATTATGTGGACATGTGCACGACTGTCCCAGATTTGGGAAAGATATATTAATAAAACTTTGAGGGAGAAATGAGGCAGGATATATTTTGATTAGTAATTGAATGAATACTTTATATATTGAGATAACATACCGTTGTGATAGCTGTACATCTCTGTAGTCTGGCGATGTCACCACGTAAAACTACCGATTGAAAGAAACATTGATAATGCAAGACCTTTATAAAACACTTTCATTAACTGCTGCATTTTCTGAATGTTTCAATATATGTATAATTTCAATAGAGAAAAATACTTACTGTTCATAATGACTGTTTCAGCAATATCGTCTGCATTATGACCTGAAATACACCGTAACCAAAATATCACTCTTCGCATGCAAAATAACTGGTCAAAATCGGCATATACAAGAACTTGTGATCAATGTTCGGCAACCAGACTTTGTAGCTCAGTGGTCATAGAACTGGAATATAATTGCACAGTAATCCATGTTCAATTCCTGCCCTGTGGTTCCATTTTTCACAGCAATGATAGTAATTTCCAAATGGAAAAACCATTCAGTATATTGAGGGAGTTGCCCTTGAAATCTTGAATCATGAAATTGCAAAGCATGTAGTATATTACAGAGGCTAAAAACATACACTAACAGCCTAATCACAAACCTGTAACAATCTTATCAACTTTTAACAACATGGCACCACGATCCAACGCCTGTCTCCGAAACACACCACAAAATGTACCTATGTTACCATCAATATTAAGAATGAAATAATATTAATTTGCTAAATAGAAACGATTGAAAGAAACAATTTGCAAAATTTTAAACAGTCTTACAATTATTTTTTAATCCAATTTGTTTAACAATGTCATCCATGGTCCAGCCATAAAGTTCCTATGCAAAAAATATAGCTCAGTAAAAATAGGTTTGCTAAATATATATAATGTAGAATCAAATGAATATTTGTGGGTCAGAGAGTTTTAGCCATATTGCTGTACACATTACCTGGTAGGAGACGACTTTTAAAGGCAGTTGATATTGCTCTTTGTTTCGTTTCACGGTCTGTAACAAATATATCGTGATTTATGATTGCAGTCTAATACCTCATAATCATACCTCATAATCAGGTTGCTGAGAGGTTGCATGGGGCATGGGGCAAAACTTTCCCATGAGGCCCCCTATGAAGTCATAACTGAGGGAAGCTGTGAGGCTCATCCTTTATTGGGTACCCCACTCAGAAGTTAATTTTTAAGAGAATATGTCAGAATATTGTCTCAACACAGGAAAATGTCCACATTTGAGAAGTATCCATTAGTCCATATGAATAAGATAGGAGCCTGTATTAGAGAGGCATTAATGTAAGAGGGGCGTGCTTATTAGAAATATGGTCTGTATTAGAGAGGTGTCCCTATTAAAGACTGAGGTGTACATACTAGTAAGGTATCTGATATACTGGAGAGAAGTTTATATTAGATGGATGTCCATATTAGAGAGGTATCTGTATTAGAGAAGTGGTCGTAAGGAGAAACTGAACTGTGTAAGTGCTATCATTATTAAGATCATCTTTTGTCAATAACTAACAAATATAATTTTCACATTGAGTATTCAAAAGTACACATATATCCCTAATTACTACCTCTAATGAATCATCTCTGTAGCCTGTGATCCCTTCATCAACAGACAACAGAATCAATTCCAAGCCATAATCATATCTTGCATTCAATGTTTTTAAGACGTATGCCAACACTGTTGAATCTAGATCAGGGGAAAAAGAATAAGTTGCAATCTATTGGGGTTTGCTATCTTTTTCCTACAACTC